ATGGAAGTAAAATCTGCAAAGGCATGCTTCCAAGCATGACTAACAAGGTAGCTAACCCTGAAACACCCCAGGGCAACCAGTGAAATGTGAAAAAGAAAGAAAAGAAAAGAAAAGCATAAAATGCCTCGAGGCAGGACGACGGCACCTTTGAAGATTTGTCTCTGTAGACAAGTTTTTGTCCACGAAGAGACAAGTAGGTCGCACTTGGCTTGGTCAACTGATGATAGGATTTTGACAGATTTTTGGGTTATCAAAATAGACTTGTCTCGACTTTGTCTCTAGTGCGACTAAGGTCTAAATTACTGAGGTACACACTATTACATGTCCACTCACAGCACACTGCAACAGCTTTTCAGGTGATACGGCACTTTTGAATTCGTCAATAGTCTCTTCCCATGTGTTCATCTTGAAGAATTTCACAATGGCCTCCTGGACAAGTCTTAGAGATTTTAATCCAGAGGTAGCAAACTTCACCTCTCCCAGGCTTATCTCACAAGTTGCCACATACGAACGTTGTTTAATTATGATATTATTAATAATTTATTGAGTTTTATTGCGCAATTGTCAATGTAAAATTTTCAATGCGCATGACAATGTTTAAAATTTAACTGCATCTAGTTATTTAAGCTAAAAAAAATTGTTGACCAAGATGTAGAAACATAAAAACTGCATACAAAGAATTAAAAAGCTTTTTGCAAACAAGTCCTAATAGCTTTTTTAAACCTGTTGAAATATTCAATATTTCCGATAGAACACAGCAGATCGTTCCACAATTCCTTGTTCAGTAAAGTATTTTTGAAAATCCAAATCCTGTAAGGGCACTTGATCTCCCCATAACCCTTTCACAACAGTCACAGCTGCAGAGAAAATTTGGCGTGGCATGCAACCATGGATGCTGCTAGTTTAGAAACAATCCACACTCCTTGACTCGAAGTTTAAATGCCTTTCCTTCATTGTTAATTCGTATGCAGCAACGACTTTTTTTTCATGCTTGCAGCCATGTTCTGTAGCAGCAGTGCTGAATTTGAAAATATTGGGGTAACACATTGTTGCGATAGGGGGATGGGATGGTTAAACTGGGTTAGTTTGACATGTTTGCTTGCGGTAAAAGGCATTGCAACTGGATTGATTGCTAGTATCTTTTACAACAATTGTTGCTTGTTCAGTCATCGTTTCAGTGTTCACTTTAGCGCAGGCTTCCAGCAGTTCATTGTATTGCGTGTCCAAATACTTCCTGTCATAGAGGTTTGGGACAGTTTCAATAGTTCTACCCTTTGTAACAAAGGTCTAGGAGTACAAATGAATTAAGTTTAGTACAACAGGTTTTGGTAGAAGGACTTTAACTCGGCCTCAGATGGGACTGGAACGTCATTTTTCTATTTTACTGTTATTTTCGAATCTTTTTGGACAAAACACGAAGCATTTTCCACCACTTCGTCTAGTCTTTTCTTCAGTTTAGAAGAATGCGTTTGGCTGCTACTTGTAACGCCAGTGGTATGCTCCATCTAAGGACAAGAGATACTGTCCGGATGAACTTGTACATTGTCACAGTCTTTAAGTCTGAAAGAGCCGATAGAAATTGCTTATCACCTTCCGGTTGACGCATTGACTAAGTCAAGCCAAAACGATGTGGAATGGAGAGGTCGAACAAGGGAGAATTATAAGTTGCAAGTTCGTGGTGAAGGAAGTTCACAACTTCAAACATTCTTCTGCGCAACGTCCTGGCTTCATCCCATATGACAACATCCAGAGCCTTTATTCTGTCTCGAATAAGGAGAATTCGCTGCCCACCTGTCTATCAGTTTACGCCAAGGTAGCTCCGCTGTTAATAGACTGATAGGAAAAAAAGTGAAAGGTCAAGGCTGAGCCATGATCGTAAACTTGGCAGGCAATGCCACTCGAGCATATGACACCAACTGTCTTTCCATGCGCACGTGCCTTGAAACATTGAACGATCTGTTTCACTACTTCATTTTTCCCCACCCCATCCTGACCAGTAATAGCTAAGTTGTGACCTTGAGAGGAAAACTCCAAAATTTCCTCCAGGTCACTATTACGTTTTATCCCAGAGCAGATGGTTTTGTACAATGCAGCCATGAGTGAAGTAAGAGTTGCAGTCGAGTGGCTTTTTCGTGACATTTCAAACTATTTTAAGTTTTATTGATTCGCCAATTACAAATAGACATGAGTTCAGTTGGGAAATTTTACATTGTTTGTGCCCTTTTGGAAAATGCATTGACCCCTCTGTATGATAACATTGTGACAGAAAAGTTTGAACTTCAACCACCTTTATAGGACTACTTCCAATAATTTTAGTTTGTCTCATTCTGTTCTTTGGCCAATGGAAGAGTTGCACATATTAAGTTAAGGGATCTTATGCCTTCTGAGATGAGGTCATTTAGTGCTCCTCTCTGCTTCTTGCTTTACTGTTGATGAAAACACCCTCAGCTGGTACACACAGCATGAAAAAGTCAAGTTTACAGTATGTAAAGCTGGCATAAAGCTCTCTTAAATTTGTAAATTATATATATAACAAAATATGGAGTTTATCACAGCTGTCTTTCGCGACTTGTGTACTTTGATGCAGTTAAATTTACAGCTATTGATCCTATGCATAATTTGTTTTTAGGAACAGCAAAACATGTTTTTAAACTATGGATTAAGAAGAACTTACTAACAAAGAAAGGTCTTAAAGTGCCCGAGTGCCTGAAGAGCGAATCCATTCTTTTGATGTTGGGACAGGAATTGGTCGATTACCTCATCACATTGCATCAAACTATAGTAGTTGCACTGCATCACAGTGGAAGAACTGGACTCTTATCTATTCCGTGTTCTGTTTGGAGGGTCTGCTTTAAGTAAGTCGTATAAGATGATGGCAAACATTTGTCCTCGCTTGCCAGTATACATCTTCTCCAATTATATCAAAGATGCACCTTCACAGTCATTTAAAAGAATGCATCATTGACTGCGGACCAGTACATGCATTTTGGTGATTCAGTTCTGAACGTTTTAATGGTATTCTTGGAGCAATTCAAGTTATGGAGGATCGATTGAGGTGCAGCTGATGTGGAAACTTCTTGCTGAACGGTTTATTTGGGATGCAAAGTTTCCTGCTGAGCTCCAAGATACCTTCATGCCTTTCTTTACGCAGGCAAGAAATGACATTGTTCAGAGTTTGAATGTGAAGAATGCCACCGCTCTATTTAATAGTGCATTTTGCTTACATCTTGGGGACTTCCAGTGGAGTGATCTTACACTTGTTAGTCATCCTAGCACATTCAAGCAGTATGCATTAGATTCTGATGAGCTGAGGGTGCTTCTTGACTGTTACAAAACACTGTATCCACATGAAGAAATTGAACTCTCCTCTTTATCCAGTGTTACCCGCAAGTATTCAAACATGATGCTTGGAACTGAGAAGTTTGGTTCAAAGATGGACTGTTGTAATCTGCGATCAGGACGAATAATAACTTCTTGGAGTACCTCTGATGGCACAGTTGATACTTCTGGAGCTACTAGACCAGGCATAGTTAGCTTTTACCTTGTTCATAGTGTTAAGATTAGTGGCGAATTTAATCAGCATGTGTTTGCTGTTGTGTGGTGGCATAAATTTGATGAAGATCAAGATTTATTAAGTAGGAAAATACTGAGGATATATATGTAGTCCATGTATCTCTTCTCTGTTATTTTGTCACAGAAAACAGTGGAGGGAGCATGTGCTGTTTTGGCATTTTTGAGGCACTTAGGAACCATAGTGTTTTTAATCACTGAATACGGATTTGGTGACTCATTTTATTGCTAGGCCAATTCAGCTTTATTGTCCAATTATGTGACAATGAATGCATGAGGATATCTATATTTTCACTATTGTTAATCGTTTCAACTATAATTTAAAGTTTATGCTTGAAAATAAATTATGTTTAAAATTTAAAAAACACTTTTAGTACTTATCTCTGTCTAGGATTAGAGCAAATCTTGAATTCAATTTATTTTATTGACTGACTAAGGAATTTTTTTAATAAAAAAGATGAATTTTAAACAAAATGGAAAACATGGGTCAAGATTTTTTGTTTAGAGCCCGTGAAAGTCGAAGATTCGGATATTGTATTTGGAGAGGAGATCGTTGTCACAACGACTCCTAGCGTCGGAGAAGGAACTATTGTGTGATGCCAAACTAGAGTAAAAGTTTTATAAACCAACTCAGCTCTTAAAACCGTTTCGGAAGAGGTACCTCATCTTAGGTCCTGAAACCCTAAACCCCACCCTGTGACATTTATCCTTTCCCAACGCGGACAAACCAGAGCGACTTCTAACCCAACATATTATGAAGTTATCGTTATGGTCAATTTCTTTGCACTAGGTGGCGTTGGAAGTTACACTGAGGAAGTGCACTTTTCTACCGCAGAAACTGGGATTGGTGAAACGGAAGAAGTAAGTGGACATAGTAGTGTCGGCTCACCACAAATGTTACCTAGGCAGGAAGTCGCCGGAACACCAACGCCAAAAAAATTGGACGTCAAGCTCTGTCATCAGCTGGGAAGAAAGGTGCTCTCAGGGCTAAAGGGAAATCGTCAGCTACAGACAAGAAGACAACATGGGAAGACATACTGCGCCTTAGAAAGAGAAAGCTCCAACTAAAAAACGTTAAGCTGAGACTGGAGATAAAAAAAACTCAGAAAGGATCTTGAAAATTAATTTCATTAAAAGGCGTCCAAAATGTAAATCAAATTGATTATATTAGTAGCCTTTGGACATTTGCTGAACTTATTGTATTATAATGCTATTGATAGTTGGAGGAATACTGTTAATTGGTGATGGGCGATATCAGAATTATGACCTACATGTACATTCACTTTTGCCTTTGGAAGTTAGGTGTAAGTGTACTTTGCAGTATAACGTAATGATTACCGTCATTGAATAAAAAAATGGCCCATTTATTTGGCACGATATTGAAACAGCGGCAGTTTTTAATTCAGCGTAATTTGTATAAGTCCTCACATTTAAAGGAAGTGCTGCAGCAGCTGCTGCCTTCTGTCCTCTTGTTCCTCTCCAGGACCGATATCCAACTCATCGTGGACGTTGTCAAGATCTGCATCGTCCAGCATATCATCGCCATTATCGCTAAATAGAATGCAGAGGTTGTGCAATATAACAGCACACTGGACAAGCCCGGCCGCTCTTGTCATGTTTTTCACTCTTATAGCCGTCTGGAGAGCGTAAAACCTTTTCTTGAGAATGCCAAATGCCCTCTCGATAGTGCATCGTGTTTTCTTATGTGCCTCATTAAACCTGCGGCGAGCCCCTTCTACGTCTCCTCTGAATGGGGGGATCAACCAACTGTTACAGGCGTAGGCAGAGTCGCCTAAAATAACTGCTCCTGGGAATGGTCTATTCCCCTGTTGCTCAAAGGCGGTCCACAGCGAGCTTTCTTTAATCACTCGTGAATCATGCCACCTTCCCGGGCATCGACTGCTACAGAAGTAGATTGTGTAATCTGAGCCTGATACCATGGCGACATTCAGAGATTTGAAATGATGGCAGTTGACGTAGGGGTCTTCATCATTGCGAGGTGGGTTTACTTGAACGTGAGTTCCATCAACAAATCCTGCGACACACGGAAAGCCCGCGATGTCTCTGAATTTAGCGGCAATACTTAGAGGCTGACCAGCAGGCCATCGTATGAACTCCCGCTTCAAGCTTAGTATTGCAGGAATAACGCGATGAACGATGTGCCATACTGTTGATGTGGAGATCCCACGACAAGAGTGCATTACGTGATAGAAGGAATTTGTTCCAAGGAAATGGAGAAATACTAAAAATTGCTGTCTTGCCGTTAGTGCTCTGCTACGTCTCGTTCTATACTCCAAGCGCGGGCCTATTAATTCCAAAAGGTGGACGAAGGCGTCCACAGGCAGACGAAACTTCTCTTGAAATTCCCTTGGATTTTCGATTTCGAAAAGCCGTCTGTTTTGAAAATTCCTAGGTTGACAGATAACTTGACGTCTAAGCAGCTCGTCAAGTTCCTCTTCACTCGAGGATGGCATGTTGTGACGCTCCAGTTTCCTTTTTCAGAAGAAGTATTCATTGTTTACAAGTGACATGCGACTTGTATTTTGCACTTGTGATTTACAAGTCGGACTCTTGTAAAAGTTTTATTTAATATGATACTTACCATCTTTTACACTTGTAGCGATACACCTGTAATTACAAGTCGGACACTTGTAACCTGGACTTGTAACAATGTTTATTAAACTCGTTTTCGTCTGCACTTGTAAATACAACGGTCCAACTTACAGATTACAAGTGTAGAAGTTTTATTGAATTGACCCCAGTATAGTAATTGCTGTTTTCAAAATATTGGCATGGATGAAGTTTACCTTACCAACAGTATTATATATTTAAGGAATTTTCAATAGAAATAAATGCAAATTAGCCATCATTTGCGTAAAAAAATTACGAATCTTTCAAATTTACTAGCTCGTTCGAAAATTAAACATAAATCTGTTCAAATAGCTCTGACAGGCTTACTTCTTATTCTGATTCACGGCTTAAAGCACAACTTTAAAGCAACTTTACGCGGCAGCGTAAACTTGTTCGACTTCCTTTATGCCAACTTTACATACCCTTTACACAAGGCAGCGTATATGCAACCTTTACTTACCTTTAAGAAAATTTAATCCATGGCGTAAAGTTGGTAAACTACCTTTACGCCTACTTTACATTACCTTTATGTAAATGTAACCTTTAAACAGCTTTAAGGCGATTTAATTCATGGCGTAAAGTTGGATAACTTACTTTAAGGAGATTTAAGCCAACTTTAATTTTTCGTAAATCTTTATTTTCATGCTGTGACAGCTTGCAAGAGTTTCACATCCTTCTCTTCAACCCACACCATCATAGATCTAATAACAATCTTAAACAAAAGTTTCCTAAAAAAAAAGTAGCTAGATAAACAAATATTGTCTTGACTAACTTGTAGTATAGAACGTACAATCAATCACTTATCCTACTTTTTAATTGAGAAAAGCAGCTTGCTTTGTCTTCAGAACTACAACCAAACATCTAGTGTATCAGATATGATCA